CCACCAGCAAGAGAAATGATTTCCAGATTTTGTTAAATTCCCTAATAGAACCTTTTAGAGAGAATCTAAGTTTTTCCAACTTTAAGTTAAAGAGTACATCTCTCACCCAATGATCATGAGTTGGGGGGTGGGGAAGCTTCCACTTCAACAGAACAAGCCTCCGAGCTAGTAAAGTGGTAAAGGCTTGGGCCTGTTTGAGGGGGCCAGATAAGTTCAAGTTGGGAGGAATGCCAAAAATTGCAGAGAGTGGGTTAGGAATTGTTCAGTGTATTAATTCATAGTGGTATAACTCTGCATGCCAGTTGGGTGACCTAAATCTTTTATTAATAAGACTCCATATTTGACTTGTAACATTTAATATGTAAAGTTTAGCTATATTAATTTTCACCCATGCATGTACATCTATTCATGCAAATTGGCTAGTTCAATCACAGTCTTAGAGTGCTGGCTACAGAGCATCAAACAATCCAGCTCTGACTTGCAATCATATTTTGGCTTTTTCAAATGAGCTGGAAAGTCTTTTCTCTATCAGGTCTTAACCAAAACTGCATGGTGTTGAAAGCCAGCTGGTGATTTAATAATGGCATTAGCTACATAGCTTTGTAATTGGATGTACAGTATGATAAGTTGGAGTCATGTGCAGCGTTCAAACTGGAAACATTAAAACCAATAATGTCATGTCCTGCATTAGGAAGGTTATATGGAGTAACCTTTCTAATGGCATTTAGAATGATTTAGTGTCTGATGAAAGAGGGTGGTCTGCCTCTTATCTCATTAAAGAACATTAAGGTCCAATAAATGCCTTCAAATTTATAAATTTAAAGAATATTTTGATGAAAAAAGCACTTTGTAAACAGAATCTCTTTAAGAATAATGTGTATATTTATTAATGACAAGGTTTTTCTCTCGTGACCTTTGACCTTAATTTGGAAGGGCATTCAACTGTACAAATCATACACAAAGATGTATCTGTAGTATCCCATGTTTTTTGCAATTATCATTCATTACTTACTTTAGGAATGGTTTTTTTTTTCGTATTTTAAAATCGTGCACTTCAGTGGTAAATGGTGGTGTGTGTTTTTTTTATTTACTGCATTATCAACCACTCTATTTTTAAGCACATTAAGCACAGAAGGTTTACTTGATCTGTCTTAGTTGTAATTAGTGCGAGGATCAAACGTGCTTCGGGATGATGTTTTGTTTATTTGCTGTAGAACTATCTGATTCTTTAAATCGATATTTGCAGTACAAAGTAAAAAGCATCAAAATCACTCTGATGCACTGATAAACATGGGGTACAGTGAAGTTCCACAGCAGTCATGTTTCTTGAGTATAGAAGAAGTAAGCGATAGTTAGAGAGGAAGCAAAAAAGTTAAAAGCCACAAAATGCCCTCGATTAATGGACACAAACCTTGTAAGACAATGGAATTATGCAAGTTTTTATAGGTGATCCCAAGGCCTGTCAGCACTGCAGGGTAGCAGCATGTCTTCTGGACATGAACTCGTAATAAATACTGTAGGATTGCTAAAATACTGTAGGATCTTAAATGGTCAGCAGAAGTCAACAATTGGTCAACAAACATAAAATGAACCTATTCCCCCAGGTTCACTGGATGCTGAATATAGATTTGCACGGTGAATAAGGCAGTGCAGTCAAGTGACCTTTCATTAGGACAAGAGCATATCAGAAAATGAGAGAAACTAAATTACTACGTTCCATTAGCACTCACGAGGACGCCTGCAGTTTAAGGGATCACGAGAATGAAGTGCAGCAACTCAATTATACTGTTATTGACGGCGAATCGCTGTGAATAAGTTATGCAACCAGTCTGTCTCTCCCTGGCTGACTGTCACACCTCACTTCTCTCTCTGATGGCTGAGATTAAGTCACAAATTAAATCTCTGCTGTGTCATATGAAATGCATCAGACTTGTTTCAGAGCATTATTTTACTTGTGACAGCAGAAATGAGTCATAAATCAAGCAACTATTGCAAAAACTCAAGGAGAACCAACACACATTATTTTAATGATAGTAATAGCTTCCCCTTTGAGGCTCTGTCAGGATCTGGTGGACAATTCTGCCAAGTCAAACATGCAAAGCTACCTGCTGTGACGACCCCTTGTGACAAGAGAGCAGCTGAAAGTAGCTTTTTACTAATAACTTATACATACTTTAGAAATACTGATAAGTTATATAACTGTTACTTTCACACAATTTAGCATCATGGCTACCCAATTTATAAAGCTAATTAACTTGACAACCAAACTATGTTAAGTAAATGAGTTGCAAGCCCATGTGTGTGTCGGTCTGGGTTAAAGTCCACTGATGCATGTCTCATGACATCCCATGCATGCACAGAGGTACTGTAGCATCTCATGATCTGTGCTGAACTTTGACCAAATGGATGGGTGGGAAATGATAGAAAGGCTCTGAAGTGTGTGCACGCGTGTGTGTGCGTGTGTTACAACCCCCGCTCTCACTAATGCTTAGACATCACTATCACTGCGACAGACCCCTTTCACTATCAGTGTTTGGGTTCAAAGGAAGAGGCAACGATCGAGAGGATTAGACAGGGTGATGTGACAAAAATAGATTCTGTTTAAAGAAAGGTTAAAAATTACATTTGGACGCTGCTATTTTAGGTTACACCATATTGGGAAATTGATAAATCAGAGTATCAGTCTTGAAATTTGCTACAATGCAGAATTACATTAAGAATAATAGTTTCAATACAACAAAACATATCAAGAGTGGACCAACATAAAGAAAGCTACTCTTTCTTTATGTTTTAATTTCCTCATATTTTGACATTGAAGGTTTTTTCACTTGTATTCAGTCCTTGTACCTGACCTTTTTTTATAGATAAATAATAATACTTTTGTTTTTCAGGCTCCTTTTGAGGCACTCAGTGACATCTTAAAAGCAATTAAATATCAAAATCACAACATGCATAAAATAAGAGATGTAAAACGTCATCGAATGAAATAGTCAACAATATAAAAATCAAAAAGAGTAGCAGGTCAAGATTTAAAGGATTAGATTGTTAAGCCACTTAACAATGACTGTCAGGGACCAAGCAGTAAAGCATAAAGTACAACACAGGTGTTTAATTCAAAAAAGGGGCTTTATTGACCCAAAAATATGAAAAGATATTTAACAAAGACAAAACTTAAACAGGCAGACCAATAAAAGAGGTCAACTCAATAGACTAAACTCAAGATAATAACTAACAAAACCTCAAACAAACATAAGATGAACTGGGGGAACTTAAATACTGGTTTAGCTAAACCAAATGGCACACACGGGGGAAAACAAAATGGCTGCCATATAACCAACTAATACGAAACAATTAAACAAACATGAAACACCCCCCAGGCAAGGAAGCATGTGGTTGTATCCAATTAGGCTGTCAGTGATACTTCAGCTCTCCCAGCCCTTTGCCAGACAGGAGAAGCCAAACCCCAGGTAACATGTGTGGCATGCCATCACAATGACCTATGAATTTTTTTACACCACTCTGAATTTAAGCATAGGTATTATTAATCTCTTGATCTCTTCCACAGCATGTCTTTGGTCTTGTCTTCCTTTCCTCACGTCCAACCGGTTACAGGAGATGGGCGCCCCTCCTTGAGTCTGGCTCTGCCGGAGGTTTCTTCCTGTTAAAAGGGAGTTTTTCCTTCCCACTGTCGCCAAGTGTTTGCTCATAGGGGATCATCTGATTTTGGGGCTTTTCTCTCTATTATTGTAGAGTGTTTGCCTTACAATATAAACCACCTTGAGGCAACTGTTGTTGTGATTTAATAATAATGGATTGCATTTATATAGCGCTTTTCAGGACCCTCAAAGCACTTTACAATTCCACTATTCATTCACTCTCACAGTCACACACTGGTGGAGGTAAGCTACAGTTGTAGCAGACTGACAGAGGCGAGGCTGCCATATCGCGCAATTGGCCCCTCTGGCCAGGGAGATGAAGTGTCTTGCCCAAGGACACAACGACCAAAACAGATCGAACCGGCAACCTTCCAGTTACAAGATGAGCTTCCCAAGCCCCTGAACCACGGTCACCCCAAATTTGGATCTATAAAAATACAATTAAATTGAATGAATCAGTGTTGTGTCTAAACATAATAAACAAA